ACAAGGTGTCCCATATGTCTCTGTCTCAGTATAATCAGTCATTACGTGATCCTCTGCTTCTAGCCTGGAGGGCTACTCTTAACTTTCAACTAACATATAAAACACTGTACGAGCTTATCCAGTCTTGCACAGCATGCCAACAGCCCGCTCCGTCCCAGTTTTGTTCATTTAGCAAATGAGACCTATCGGGGATGATTATTCAGGTGGAAGTCTGTGCAAGCTCCTTACAGTTGGAGTTTTCAGAGCAAGTGAGAGATACCAATTTCAAGAAAGCCAAAACAGGTGATAACCAGTGTTTGTTGGCCTAGGCAAATGAGGGCAAAGGCTGGTCTGGATTAACACAAGCCTGTGCTAATTTAAAAAAGAAACATCAGTAGCATGAAGCGCTGCCCCTTTGAATCACAAACGGGAAGCCAAATCTAATAGGAATGGCTTTTTTACCAGTCTCGTGCTCCCCTCTATCATAATGTCTTTTCCCTCCTTTTGTGTCAGCTTGTTTTGTCTGGATCACTGTGACATCCAACTGTTTCACTGTTTCATTCTTGAGCATACCTCTGGAATACCATCTGTGACTGGAGTTCCCAAAGTAGAATTTCAGGTGCTACTCATGTTGCCATTCTTTGTGTTTTTAACACATAGTATTCTTTTCCTTCTATAAGACGCCCTCGTGTATAAGATGCCCCCACTTTTCTAACCCCAAATTAAGACAACTTCGCTTTGAGTATTCAGCCTCTGGGCTCAGAATGCTAAGACATTACGAGTCCCGGGCTTTGAGTATTCAGCCTCTCGGCTCAGAACGCTAAGACATTACGAGTCCCAGTTGAATTTGAGCCTACAGGCTCCACCTCCCATGTTTCAGTTGGTTTGTACAGCATCAGCTGACATCAGTTACATAAGGCTCATGATTAGAGGAAGCTAAATTTCCTGACTGTAGGAAGCTAAGTCTCCTAATTGGAGGCAGCCTGTTTGCAGAGGCAAGGTATGGGCCATTTTGTTCTCTCCTGAGCTTACTTCCATGTATAAGACTACCCTCAATTTTTAGTGTAATGATTTTAGACAAAAGTATAGTCTGATACATCACTGATTCTTTAGGTTTTGAATCTATATTTAATTATCTGATATAATCATCTTAGAACTGCAGAGTTGGAATGGACTCTATGGATCATCAAAGCAAAGCGTGCTGCTTATATAGCGCCCCATAGTGACTCTCTTGGTGGTTTACAAGTTAATTATGCAGGCTACACATTGCACCCCCTCCCCCAGCAAGCTAGGTACTCATTTTACCAACCTCGGAAGGTTAGAAGGCTGAGTCAACCTTGAGCTGCTACCTGGGATTGAACCCCAGGTCGTGAGCACAGTTTTAGTTGCAGTACAGCAGTTTAACCACTGCACCACGAGGCTGCGGTGAAAGCTGCAATCCAAAGTCCAGTGGTGAATCAAACTCATAACCTCTTGCTCCACTGCGGTGAAAGCTGCAATCCAAAGTCCAGTGATGAATCAAACTCACAACCTCTTGCTCCACAGCCAGAGACCTAAACCACTGAGCTCTCCGGCAATGCACTGTTATAGGTTTTCATGTATTCTCTGTGCAGGTGACATAGGCATCAGAATCCATAACTGTGAGAAAGCTGAGAATCTGCAAAGATTTTTTAAAAAAGAAATACTCTTTGTCTGAATGAGACCAGTGATAATTCTCCAGACTCATCTGAATCATGCATGATCCCAGCCAGGCTGAAGGAGTTAGGAAACCTTCCTCTACCCACTCACTTCACTGCAGGACACCTTTGGTTGGTCCCACTTGGCAGATTTACTGCCCGAAGAGTCGTTCACCAGCAGCAAATCCCCTATGCATTCTGAGCAGTGTGAGCATCTCTCAAGCATGGTTCTAGTTAATTATATTTGGGGAAAACATGCCACCCTTCTCCCCCAAATTCTGGGAAGCCAGAGCGGTGGAGTGAACATGGTGTTGGGAGATGCAGGTCAGCCACGGACCTCAGCTGGGGTCACTCACTCTCCCTCAGCTTCAGCTACTTCACATGGCTGTTGTTGTTGATGCAGGTCAGCCACGGACCTCAGCTGGGGACCTTGGGTCTTCACTTACTCTCCCTCAGCTTCAGCTACTTCACAGGGCTGTTGTTGTTGTGAAGATAAAGTGGGGAGGAAGAGAGCCATGCGCACCATTTGGACCTCACTGGTGGAAAGGAAAAACACAGATTAACCATCCGCAGTTCATGAACCAAGTTGGGGGGGACATTTCACCCCAAAATGTCAGGGGTGGTGATAGTTGTGAGCTCTGAATGTAACTAGCGAACAAATAGATGGCACACCTTCTAGTGTCTGCCCTCGAAACAGAAATGATGTTTGGCAACTGCCCCTCAGTTCTAAGATTCCCTCTCGGTGCCCAGCCAAACTCCCAACCCTTTTAGGAAAGAAAGTTGAAATGGCTGCTCAGAACAGCCTTTGGGTCGGATGAGATTTTGTCCTGTTTATGTGGGAGGGGCAGTTGCTTTGGTTACTGCCTCAGACACAAAGTGGCCTATAAAGGAGTGAATGCACAAATAGTTACTGGGAAAACACTAGGCGTCTCCCATACCCACTTTATTATTCCTCCGACTGCTCTCTGTGCCTGTCACAAGTGACTAGAGAAAATTTCCCCCAGGTGAAAAACCAGGAAGAGATTCCTGTTGTTTATCAAAGGTTGCTGAACATACACACCCAGTTCTTGTAAGGGAGAAGCCCCTTCCTTCCTTCCTTCCTTCCTTCCTTCCTTCCTTCCTTCAAACTGCCGTGGATTGAGCTGACTTCTTGGCCTGCCACAGGTCTTTCTTACACATTACATAGTGAAAGTCAGAATGAGGGAAGGTGAGCCTTTTCCCATGAGCTTCAGTGCAAAAATACATCCCCCTGGGGTTTGGGAGACAAGGGTAGGTGGCATTCTGCCCCATGTAAAATGGTATTGAAAGAGCGCCCCTCTGCTTGCAAAGTGCTTTTGCACTGCCTTCGGGACCTTGTGTAGGTGGCAACTGTTACAAAACGAAGCACGGAACAATTAAAACCTTTGGCCACAGTGCTGAGTCTCTTGCTTCTTCTCTTTTCTATCGAGCTAACTGCTGTCCCAACCATGCTACTTAAGCCCGCCATCCAGGAGAAAGAAGCCAAGGAGGAGGGAAGTATTTTTAAAACAGTAATAACAAAGAGAGCAGTGGCTGGCCGCCAGTGTCCCTATTTGACTCCCGCTTCCCCAACCCACTCTCGAATGACGTTTGCTGGGCTCTTTTCTACCCTCCCTCTCCCCAGAGGCATCGGCCGCCAAGCCCTCATTCTCAGTATCAAAGAACGAGAGTTTCCCCCAGCAGCCTCCTCTGCTGAAGTTTCCAGTCGGGTTTATGAGCTTAAGATCCTTTTGTCCCTGTGTTTAAAAGGAAGCACGGGAGAGGTCTGGGCAAGAGTAGAGCAGGGTTGGATTCATGGACAGTTTGCCACATTCGAACAACAAGGGAAAGGATGAAATATTCTTCATTAAACATGAAAGCTGCAGCAAGGGAGGGTGGTGAAAGCTGCAATCCAAAGAATGCGTTGTGGAAGGAACGCCCTTCCAAGCTAGTGGGACTTCGTTCTCAATAAAGCATTTAGGTGGGAGGCATCCTCTTTGGGGAGCCGCTGGACCTCAGGAATAGCTATTCCGTTTGGGAAGCATGCCTTCTACACATACCAAATTTTCCTCACTTGCCTGAGCCCAGCAAAGCTCTGGGTTCACTGGAGACAGAGAAGTGCACAAAGTGGGAGTGAGGGTGGGCCACAGAAGACCCTGGTGATGCCGACAGAACTCTGTTGTTGTTGTTGTGAGGAGAGACACATTCATTCCAGCGGGTCTTGCTCTTGTGGATCCTACCCAGTGTGATCAAGGAGAATTTTCTATCTCAGCTGCCAAGAGTTACCCTCAGCCAGTCCTATATTGTGCACAATTGTCCTACAGAATACCTGGAATGAACGTGTCTAGCATTAAAGCCAAAACCTGGCCGGAGGGGGTGGGAGGGGATCTCTCCTGCCTCCCTCATGAGAAGAAGCAAACAAGCAAACGGCTGGCGATTGACATTCACTTCGTAGCACTCTGGCCAGCAGCTCCCTTGACAAAAGCAAACGCTGACCCGGTAAGCGCCAACCCTGACTGTTTTTGGAAGAAGGCCATACTATTAATACTACCTAGCATCACATTTTAGTCAGCATGAAGAACAGTATATCCAGAAGGCGTGTGGGGCTTTTTGATATCCCTTTGGATATTTCTAGAGGAAAAGTAGAACTTCTTGAGAAATAAAGAAGCAAAGAGATCCCTGGCAATTTAGAAGTAACATCTTACACTCTGCTTTAAGCAGCGATCACCCAACTCCTCTGTGTACACGGCTCTTTTGCCTTCCCCTCCCGCTTGTGGCTTTTGATCAGCGCCCCCCTCTCCTTTTCATCTGTTCAATTTCTAGCTGTCCTTCAACAAACTGGCAGCTTACAATAAGTTCCACTGTTAGGTTCCTCGGAGAGGCAGGGTACAAATACGGACGGTGCCAGGAAATGGAAGATGTTTACAACACCAAAAATATCCTGCATTGTTTTTAAAAATACCAACCCACCAATAACAGTGCTTTGCATCAAAAAAGCTATTCCGTTGATTATAAAGCAACACTGGCAAAGTCAAAGCAGAAAATAATGTTTCAAAAGCAGGACACTAGGTTAGATGAGGACTGGAGAAAGCAGGGTAAGAGAAAGGAAGAGCAGAAGGTAGCAATTATAGTTCAATGTTCATTAAGTACACGCTTGATTTAACTACCTGTTACAGAAGCAACTGGAGCTAAAACGTAAACTTCAAAGTTTACAGTTGTTCTCGTTAACCTGTCTTGGGTGCTTCAGATCTGGCAACATGAAGGCAGAATATCAGCCCACTGTCCCACCCCAGCCGTGACCACCGCCAAGCTCTTAGAAATCAGCCCTTAGGCCAGCTCATGACTAACCTGTATGGGTCCTTAGGTGAGCTTTCAGGTGGGAAGATTTGCCGTATATCTTTTCGCACCCCACATAGTGGCATTTATGCTTTTTCAGAGGTAATTCAGGGTCAGGCAGGCATCTTCCTCTCCTGTTCCTTTGTTTGGGGCTTGGTTCGCTCATAGCTGCCAGGCTGGTAGGTGTGGCTGCTTTGCCTCCTCCACGCTTGCCGGCCGGCAAGATACTTTCTTCCCCAAAATCTTCATGAGGCAGGGGAGGGTGTTGTGTCTCTCCTCGGTTGACACTCTCTGTTTTTTCCACCTGCATTGAGGAAGGTTTTGGAACATGCTCGTTGAGGCCAGCTAAAATGCTGGCCACCACGTAGACAGAAGACCCACCTCCACCGTCTCTGCCGACCTCTTTCACTTCATGTTTCTCCTCCCGGTTTGAGACAGCCAGAGCGGAACCTCTCCCAATGGGGTGCGCAGATGGTTCCCCTACAGGGTTATGTATTATAGCACAATTGGACATAAAAACAAGGCACTCGGCGGCAGAGTAGGCAGCAGTTGCCATTTTCCACACCTCCCTTAGGTGTATAAATCAATGTTAAGATTTCCTTTCCTGTTCAGTGGGAAACAGATATACCGGAAAGCTCCCACACATGTGCACCTTTTTGAAGAACTGATGATAGCTGGTTTCTCAGCTCCCAAAAAAGTAGGTGTTTTTTTTGTGTGTGGTGGTCACACCCAGTTTCTTTCTTGCTCAAGAAAAAAGGCATCCAGAGAAAGCGAGAAGCAAAACAAACCCCATCCAGAACAGCTGTTTGCTTGAAAGAGAATTGACGACGACGACGCCGGCTGTCCACAATAACAAACCTGCAATTTCTCCAACCTCTCCATCACACTCTGACGGCAGAACTGAGCCGACCCGTTATTGCACCGTGGATTGCTTCAGACCCCCAGGGGGTGTGGCTTTGCCAAACATCTGGCCGTGATGTCACAGAGGAGCTGCATCCTGGGCTGGTCAGGTTAGCAGAAAACGGAGAGACTTGGGCTGCTGCTGAAGCAACTGCTTCTGCTTCAGCTCGTGGAGAGAGCCAGTGAGAAGAGCAGCAGCAGCAGCAGCAGCAAAGGACAGGGGGAAAAAAAAAAACACACAATGTGGCTGAGAGCTTGAGCTTGGCAGAGGCAGAACGACAAGTTAAATGAAAGGAAGGAACTGATTGGCTTGGGCCAGGCCAATGGAAATGAGGAGATCTACATTTGCACATTTCCATGGGCTAATGAATTTCTTTTTTTCCTGCATGACCCAACAGAAGGCCAGCAACTCCAGATTACTCTTTGGCTCTTCTCATGCAAGGTAAAAGCTGGAGAGAAAGAGTTTGCCTTTTCCTCTGGCCTTGGCAACCTTTAAAACAGTAGATGTGCTCTTGCTCCCACACATGTTGCCTTGCCTCAGATGACTTACGACGCACCTTATAATGCAGTTGTTAACCTCTTAATGGTATTTAGACACATTCCTTCTGCAGTGCTTTAACGGCTGTGAGGCATAATACAGTAAACGGTTTACTAGGAAGAGGCAACTGAAGAGGCCTGGGAGTCTCCAGAATACATCAGACCCAAGAACAGAAATGCAGAGGTGGCACTCGTAACACCAACCGAGGAGTGTTTCACAGGGCTGTGGATAACAAAGCAGCTGACCACAAAAAATACGTGGTGGAACAGAGAGGCCCAGAAAAGTTATGTCAGTCGTACAGAGTTTGCTTCAAGTCTGCTACCATTGTAAAACAATAGCTTCCAAATCTGGGAAAAAGTAAAATAAAAATCTGCTGGTGACTTTAGTCAGCCTCAGAAAATGTTTGTTACCTGAAGGCGAATGGCTACTTGATCCATCTTCGACAGCAGTCAAGTGTATCGGGCAAAATCTGCTTACTAGCCTCAGAAAATGTTTGTTACCTGAAGGCAAATGGCTACTTGATCCATCTTTGACAGCAATCAAGTGTATCGGGCATAATCTGCTTACTCAGACTAGCATGGCTACTTCTTCTAAAACTACAGCTGTCAAGCAGACTAACATGGCTACTTCTAAAACTACAACTGTCAAGTAGTATGTTGGAGTGCCTTGTATGTTCTTCATGTCACAGTTATAGGAGCAACAGAATTTTGAAGGAAAGGCCAATAGCGGTGCAAACATTTTTTTAAAAAAGATACGTTAAAGCTCTTGAGATTGGGGCGGGGGGGAATAAGTCTGATAATCTTATGTCTTCCCTGGTCAAAACTAGTCCCGTGTAGAGTCCTAATGAATAGTCACATTTTTTTTCTCATCCTCAAAGAGAAGTAAAAGGGTGTCTTCACAGAGCGAGAATTCCCATCAAAAAACTTTTAACAACCGTTAATTTTTTTGCTCTCACACCAGGCAGAAGCAGTAGTAGCCAAGCAAACCTTGCATTTTATATAGAATCATAAAATATAAGCTATCCATGCAGAATACAGGAGGGTTTTTGTGTGTGTGTCTGTAAAATACAAATTTTGTGCAAAAACCAGCAATGCAAATTATTTGCAAAAAGAAAAAAAAAGGCCTTGAAATGCAAACCATACACAAACCACCTCCTAATCCCCACCAGCTGGAGATTACATGTGTTTGTTCTCCCCCACCAGCACAAAATAAATGAGAATTTCATCTCTTGATACAGAATTTATTTTAACAAGTACTAAATAACCCCAATCACAAGGACGGCTACTTATACTTTATTTCCAGGAACAACCCTTTGGATTTTGAACATCAGGGCAACATTTGTACCACTGTGAGATGAAAAGTGCAATTTTTCAGTACAGTCCTGTGCATATCTAAATTCTATTGAGTTCAGAAAGATCTACTCCAGATGAGCATGTATTCCATTGAAGTCCTTCCCATCTTCTGCTGTTCTCGTTTACAGTCAGAAGGGAATACGAGAAATGGATAGCCTCCCCTTTTAAAGGGGAGATAACAGGAATCCTCTGCTCCTATTTGGTACCCTGTTTCTATCCCTGCCTTCCATGCCTTAATAAATCGCCTAATTGACTCTGACACATAGGCAAATTATTTTTCCCTGTGCCAAAAAAGGAGCACATATTTGCTTGCCAAGGTCTTTTCCTGATCATCATTCAGTTTCCCCTAGTGATTTTGATGAAACATGATATTGCTTTATTGTCCCCTTGCTGTGGTACTTGATGTTATTGTGTTTTGCAGATTCTAACACCTGCAGTATTTTAAACCTCTTTGGGATTTTGGAAATCAAAAGTGTTATTCCATTGTCATAATAAAAGAAAAGAGATAGCTGGCTCACATGATTGATAGAAGTGGAAATCAGCCTTATCTACTGCCTTGTATTAGAGCAGGCACAACCAAGAAAGGGACACAATGCTATTAAGGAGAGGAAAGCCTATGTAATGGCTTTTCTCCATGTTTTGGATTGCCTGATTGGCAGCTGCACATGAACAAATCTCCTGGTTTGTGTTGCAAAGCATGGGAAATTTACTTTTTTAGAGTGCATCTTTTTTGTAGAGTGCCACAACCTCTGATCCAAAAAGAGTACCTTGTCCTGGGTCTAGCATGTGAGGGGTAAAAAAGACAGTCCTTCTGTGTCCATAAAGGAAGGGATGCCATGCCCGGTAGAAGTGAGGAACTGTGCTTGTTCTCTCTCTTCCATAAGTGTGGAAGCATCAACAGAAGGATCCCAGGGGCCTGGTATTTTAGAGGATGGGGTACTTGTTCTCCTCACTTCTTGGTATGCCTCTGCTCATCCCGAATTAAGCCTTATTCCTTGAGCTACCAAACGGTAGTGCAACTTTTGTGAAAATTTGGAAACCTCTGCTTGGCTGATCTGTTTCACAGTAAAGTACAACGATTTTCAATACAAGCAACAGAGACCATAGGGAGGGAAGATTTCACAAGTTGCCACTAAATCTCACCTCATGAAAAAAATTATGGGATGAATAAGGTGGCTGCCATTTTTGAGAATAATAAAAGAAGTTTTAAAAAAGGTTTCAGAAAGGCTAGTGATGGTTTTTAGATGGGGTGCAGGTTGAATCTACCCTTAATTTCTGGAACAGAACTGATTAGTATTTAACAGTATTAAAAGCAATGGCTAAAATCCTGTTGCTTAGTGGCATGTTTGTGGTGATTTCCTGGGGTTAAAGACTTCTCCCATCCTGAGACTCCCAAAGGTTTGCCCAGGCCCAAAGGAATCTTTAGGGAGCCTCAATGCCTGGGGAACAGGAAGCTTTCAATTAAATTAAATTAAAGATTAACATTGTGGGCTGATGACATTATCCTCATTGATGCCTGCATCGCTCCTCAGCTGGTTTTCGGCCAATATGATAATGGAAAACACCAGTCCATGGCAATTTAACAAAACCCTGTCCAATCATTTAAACAAAAAGCAGCTTGCAATAAAAAGATATTTCAAGTCGATTTAATTATAAGCAGGATAGGAGTTAGATGTATCTTTCTTGAGAAGAAGTTCCATGAATACACGATACCACTGAAATGACCCTTTCCCCTGTATGCACAAGTCTGAGGGACCTTAATGGTGGTCCTTCAAGCAGAGTCTTTGGGGCTGTTCTCAGGGCTTGGACAGGTTCATATAGTGGAAGTAGCTCTTCCACGAGCCTGTAATCCATCTGCTTACTGCTTTCAACATCAGCATTTCCAGTTTGGCACAGAAGTGAATAAGTAACCAGTGCAGCTTGTTTAAAATCTGTCTGATATATGCAGCTTCTGTATAAGCTGTAAAAATATCTGAACTGTCCATTTTACGGTAGATTGTAGTAGTCAAGTCTAAATGTAATGAAGCCAGGAGTAACGGTGGCAGGATCTGTCACTTCTTGATAGAGCCACAGTTGGTTTACCACCCTAAGCCAGTGAAAGGCACTACTATGATTCCCAGTCACATGAGCTTCCAGAGGTGGAAAAGATTTCAAGAAGACCCTCCAGCTGTAAACATGGCCACAGATTGAGTGCAGTCCCATCCGACAAACAGTTTTAAACCTCCATCCAGGCCACTTAATGGCTCTGCCCACATTACTTCCAATTTAGCTGGATTAAAGTTCCACTTTGGGAGGCCTCATCCACCCCCAAACCTCTCCAAATGTTCCACAATCTCTCTGGGATCGCCATCGTAAAAAAAGAGAGCTAGAGATATAGGTGTTATGGATAAATATTCAGCACAGGTCTCCAGATGACACTCCCTCCCTCACATTACAACAACTTCACATTGTTTCTGTGTTTCCATGCTCACCGGTTTTGCCAAGAATGTTTTGTTCAGTTCATCTTCTGATTCAGCCCTGGAGACTGGAACAAATGACAGGTTGCTGTCTCCAGATAGGCAGACCTAAAAAGAGACTCTTGGGAATATAAAATTGGGCCAAGCCTCCGCTTGACTCGTCCAGCTTCTGTCTGGTGCCCTTTATTTCTGCTTTTCCTATCCCACCACCTCCTTACAAATCACTTCTGGTTTGTTAAATGAAGCTTGCAAAATTGTCAAGACACGGGGAACCAATGTACAGCATCTTATTCAGCTGCAATTCATTGCAACAGCAGAAGATGATCCTAATTAATTGACTCATCAGAATTTCTCTTCCATGAGCAGAGTTTTGTAACACTCCTTTAGAGTCAAAACTGCCCTTTACTTTGAGTATTTCTCAAGTTTATACTTGTGGCTTTCACTGAAATGCTGGTGTAATTCTACAGGAATTCTAAAAATTCAGTTTAAAGTGTGCTGTACAGATTATACGGCTATCCTAAACTTCTTGAATCACAAGGCAGATCAAGTTGACATCTCTCCACCTCCATGCACATTGTGGGGTATGCTGTAGTATAGCCCTGTTCATTTCTGTGGGGCATGTGCAACCAGACTTCTATATTCTATGAACAGTGGCCCCGATCAATAGATCAGCTTTACTCCCCGTTCTCCCCAAATCCTCCTGGACTTAATAGTATCATGGACACATCCCCAGAACTGGCCATCATGGCTTTCAGTGCATCAGAATAATCAGAATTTACTAGAATTTCCTAGTGAGCAAATGATGCTCTGGTTATGTAAGCTATGGAAAAACATTTGGATGGTTCACCTGGGGCACCAAAATGTCTGGAGCTCATTCTGTCGAATATAATGTTGAATATTACTCAAGTGGCAGTATTTGGGCCAATATTGACATCCTTGTGAGAATTAGTTTAGAAATTATAATGTTTTAATCTCTGCTGGGTAAGTATATGGCATTTGTCATTTCCTGCCTCCTGATAAATCAGTGTACTCTTCATCTTAGAACTGCAGAGCTGGAAGGCACGCTGTGGATCATCGAGTCCAATCCCATTCAGGGAGCCACGGAGGGGAAGCGATCTCCCAACTCTGGCTCCACAGCCGGAGACCTAAACCACCAAGCTATCCAGCAGTTGGACAGCTTGAAAGCCTTGACTCTTGGAAGTCACTCACTAGGCAAAGAGAAAATCAATGCAAAGGTCTGCCCCCAGGAAAGAAACTGGGATCTCTCAGTTGTTCCTAGGTCTTCCACGTACCTGTGCCTACCACAGACATTATCTAAACAATAAAAAGTTCGAGCCTCTTAATTCAAAATTATTATCAAAAGGGGACCACATTCTGAATACAAGAGTAATTTAAGGGTGTTTGTGTCATAGACATCCTTTCTCCTCCTATTGAAATCCAGATTTTCTCTCTCTACAGAGCTGTGAACTCCGTCTGCAGGCGATAAGCTTACTATAGGCGGTACCCATCTTGGAACGAAATAAATGATACAGGTACTTCTCGTCTTGCCAGGATTTATTGATTTTGTTCAAGCTTAACACAGACTTTCTCACTTCTCAGGAACTTATAGATCTGTGATCTTCCTTTTTAATCCTCACAGACGCAGGGATCCATCTTAACACCCAGCGTCAACAAAGACCCACCTCCAAAGTTTGCCATGTATATCAAGCTCCTTCTGTTTCAGACTCTATCTCCTTTATCTCTTTAAAGGGTTCAAATAAAACACAGAGATGGTGTGAATGATCCTTATTAACTTTGTTTAAAAACCAATTTGGAGGTCATTTAAGAATCCACTAGTCATTTAAAATCAGGGATAGCTAACAGGGGAGCCTGTAAACCGGATGTGGTTCCTCAAAGTCACGTTCCTCAGCACTGGCTGGCTTGGCACAGATTCTGGAAAGATGAGAGCCTGCTGTGCCAATCTGCCTCTCGGGCAGGTCTTTCAGGACACACTGATTCATGGCTTTGGTGGTTGTAGGATCTATGCACATGGTGGAACTCCGCAGCTGTATGATGGAGCCTGGCCATTTCTGGGCCAGGGGGATTAAAGCAGATGATTCGGACAGAATCTCCTGGGAAACTTTGTGGCCTTTCACAATAAAAATGTTGGGCGTCCCATATCATGTTTTTAATGGAAGAATGTATAATCCTTGCTTCGTTTTATGAAATTGCAATTGTATGGATTTATTTTATATTGTTTTGGTCTTGCTTGTCCTTGACCGTAATAAAGTTATCCTATCCTTGGGCATCCCATATTGGAAATAATTCAGCGGCTGAAGTGAATTTGGTGATAGGTTTGATGTTCATCTGCATGTCTGGGTAGTTTTCTTTCTCAACACGTAGCTACATGTTAAGCATATATCCAAGGCATTCTATATTTGGAAGCTGAACATAAAGAACGTTCGTATGCACTGAATCTGAGCTTTGAAACCATCCTTTTGGGTTCTGTTAAACTCATTTCAATATTGTTGGTGTTGGTCCCAGGCAGCCACCCATGCAGAGTCCTGTTTTCACATTCTATTTTAATTTTGCAGCAGACGAGAATTGTATATGCCATAGCCATGCATGAATGGATTTCATTTTGAAGCACCATGAAAGAAGAAAAAAAAGAGCTAATTGATCCAACAGATCTATATATTCAATTACTGGATCAGACTTTTTAAACATCTTGGGTCAGGATTTGTCAATCTGGCTTCCACCTCCTGTTATGCTTAGGAAATTCCATATTTGTACGTGAGGTCTGCACTCTTTTGTAATCTCTAACGTTTCTATTATTGGGAGTGTTTTTTTAAAAAAATGTTTGGATGTTTATCACCTGCCCCCAGAGTCCTCTGGATAAGAAAAGACATAAATCAAAGCCTGCTGTGTGTTTTGCATGGTATAATTTTGCAGTCTGGAGGGAATTCTTGGCCAGTTGAGTCTCCACCCACTCAAATATATTCCCAACTTCCCTCCTGTATTCACTTTGTGTTTGTTCTCTTTTCCACTTCTCTACTAAGGAATTATTGGTTTAAAAACAATATAAGCAGTGAGACAGGAGAAGGCAAACAAGGAAAAAGTTAAAGCTGCCCCACCCTTGTTAGGGGCAAGGGAACATATGTAGGTCAGAAAAAAATTAAAATCTTCTTTGGTTTATGAAAATTAATTCTGTGGCTACTTTGTTAATGCCAAAGCCAGAGATATGCCCAAGAATATATTGTCTTCATGTTTCAAGTGTTGGTCTTTTGGTATACTTATAGCTAGATTTGATCTTAAAGAAGAAGGTGGGATGGAAATATCAGTATAGCTCTCCACTTCAGGAACACCAGAAGGTGCCTTCATATAAAACTATGCAGCCATCAGCAGTAATAGATGGCCACATGGCAGTTTATTTAAGAACAGATAATTTCCTGTAAATAAAGTGCATGTAAAAAATGAGCAAAATAAAGCAAATTTCATCTGAGGGGTTCTAACCCTGGATTAACAGCTGATGCAATAACATATTTGGGAATGATTTCATTCCAGTCTCCTTTCAAGGAACATTTAACTTTACACAACACACAATGTGGTCAAGAACGCTTCTATGATATCAATGTAAATTCTCCCATTTAACAAATTTATGATACTTTCTCAGAATTAAAAAAAAAGCACGTGATGACGGTTGATGAAGAAATTTGTGATGGTTTCCCAGCAGTTATTGCTCAGTTGTTGACATCTTACCTTTCTATTGCTCTGTATTAGATAGTCAAAGTTTACGTGTGACCCGTATATGTGTGATAAAGCCCTATATAGTAAGACTGGCTCTTCAGAGGCTCCTGCTCTGTGATGCCCACCCCCAGTTCAAATATCTCAAATTCCTGTGAATCTTTAGTCCCTTTTTCTTTTTTGTGAAATCCAGAGCTGGAGGGATTATTAACTGAAAGCAACTAGCATTTATTACAGTAATTTCTCTGCCAGCTTTTAAAAAACTGAACGCCATCTCCTAGCTAGGGATTCTTGAGACCCTTTACTTCTCCCCTTCACAAAAAAAACTATACTTCTGTAATGAAGAGTCGTTGACTAGATTCTTGGGTGTGGTTGGCGGCTCTTGGTCGAGCAGGTGCCAGCTAACTGCATGTGTACATTTTGCAGCTGCCCTGTAGCCCAAATGGCCAGCGGACGCAGAGCCCACAAAGTTCCTCTGAACCTTGGCACTGGCCAAGACATGGTCGCGGAACAACGGGACCATTGTTACTGAACAGGGACGTTAAACACCCAGGGGCAATGCTCTGAGAGATTAGCACTCTTAAATTATTCCCTCCTCTGAAAATGCTCAACAACAAAGCTCCTTCAATGAGTCATAACAGAATGTCATGGATGTGCCCTTGTTGTTGGTTTTCATTAAAGTTGGCCATTTGTTTGTTTTTCCTTTCTTTCAGGAAGATAGATGGTCCTTGATAACAAATGGGATTTCGGTCCTCGTTTCAACAGAAGTGCTTGATCTCATGATTTCATTATCATTACATGAAGACAGAGAATTAAGTTGCAGCTGCAGTGGAGTACCAGATGTACACGATGCTCATTAATGTGAGTTTTCTCATTCCCCCTCCCCTGGTAAGCTTATTTTGCTTTATGTTCTGGCCTGATCAGGCATGAGAGCTTGAGATATAATAAGGATATTGTGTTGGCGTCCAGAGATGGACGTTTTAATCACTTGTTGCAGTTCTCGTTAGCGTGCCTCATGCACAGTGGGGTTCTGTTGGTTTCGGACTTCATGAACCCACATCTTATAATGTGACTAAATTTTGTTAGATTAAAAAGTTGCAACCCAAGTTTTTCTGCACTGTAGATAGAGTGTACACTTTTACTTGTGGTACTTCTTTGAAGTCCATCCCCTCAGGCCACTCAGATTAGAACCCCATAACATTTAATACGATTTGGAGATGTTTTATGGACTCCATGAAGAAAAAAAATAACAGCAGGAATGTTACATTAAGTGCGGTCATGGTTTTCAATCATCCAGTTAATGCAGCTTGGCAATTTCTTTTATGCAGACAACCCCTACTCCCCCTCACCCAATATGCCTGCCTCCCACGGTGCCATAATTTTTGTGGCTGGTGTGATTCCCAAATTGTTCTCCAGAACGGAAGTTTCCACCCTGGCCAATTACAGAGCGACAATGTGCCATATGATTAAAGGGCAGTGACTTCCACATTCTGCTGTACATATTTGCCTCTTCTACTCCTGAGGAGTCCCAAAGAGGCAAGATGGAAGGAAAGAACGGTTCTGGCAGCTCTAATCCAGAAAATCATGTTTTCAGTTTGTGTGCTTTGGAAAGGGAGTTGAGTATGAAGATGGCACTGTCTGGAGTTGAAAAGAGAGGTGAACGTCTCCATTCCTCCTCCTCCTCCTCCGTCAAGTTTGACGGATTTTTTTTTGTTCAAGCAAAGAGACAAACATTCCTTGTATTCCAGAGCAGTTCCGTTTTCAAAGAGGCATAACCCTAATCCAGCGTCACTTAAGAGGTCAGCTACGGTTGTCCAAGCTTTGCCAATCAATGGCCAGATTCAGCTGTAACTACCGGGGACAACCATGGCGCCAGAACACCAGAGCCTGGCAACTGGATGCAGTGCGTTCGATTTCCCAGCCTGGCTGAAGAACAAATGAGCCAGCTCAGAAGCCAGGAAACAGTTACAGAATCGCTCGGGACACAAAGAAGACCCAAGCGGCTCATGGCATCCTCCTCTGCTTCCCTGCATCCCAGCCAAACACCCCCACAAACCATCTGCATCGCCCTCGCAGAGGTCCCGCCGTACAAAGTCCCCATTGTGTTCTGCATGCAAGTAATACCTATGTATATTTCAGCAGACGTAATGTACTGTGGTAAGTCAATGGGGCAATTACAGGCCATGCGCACAGAGCACATCAAAGGGGGCGATTGGGTTTCTTTCCACATGTCTGAAAGAACTGGGTTTTGCCTATTTAATGTACTTTAGAACACTGTCAAGTTTCTGCGTTGTGTCTGACAGGGTTCGACTGTTTGTTTTATTTTGCTTTTCATTTGCCTTCTGGTGGGAAAGAAACCAGCCTTCTGAATCCACCATTCTGTTCCACTTTGATAAGGCTTAAATTGTTTTTATTTATTTATTTATTTAGATGACTAGCCCGCCTCTTTCCTGAGGCCTAAGGGTGAAACAAAAACACGCACATAAAATACTGTCCAAAGAAAATCAGACACAGTCAAATATGAAACAGAAGTCCAGCCACAAAAACCAAGGACAATTAAAAAAATATGCCAGGGCATGCAGGGTAGGGCCTTCACAGGGAAGGGAAAGATCACTCGCTATCAAGACGATTCGGGCAACCAGATTTGTCTCAGCTCAGCTGGCAGCGGATGATTTCCACAATCCATGGCTGTGATAAACTACCCGAGTGATGAGGTTTCAGGGTCTATTAGAGATGCTAGATGTCATTTGGGAAATGGACAGCCAGATTGTCTCCCAGTTCCAAACTAATCTTTCTCCTGGTCCATGATGATATTTATGCCTTTCTGGTCCTCTGTGAAAAAAATCCATTCCCACGAATGCTCTACTCTACCCTTTTTTGTACTTTCTCTTTCTTCCTGTCCTTTCTCTTCGCTAAATCTGAAATTAGCAGTCCTGTAGCCACAGACTTTGATGATTTAGTCAATGACTGTGCAGCAGAAAAGAGGCATGAACTACAATTTCTGAGGCTAAATTTTATACAGCCCATCATACATGAACTGGCCTTCAGGATTGGGGGGGGGTTGAGTGTCCAGCCAGCTGGCAAGGTTGGTGTCACAGCTTAACTGTTCTCCTTGGAACATGGTGCTCAGTCTGCCAAGTGTGCAGAGGACCCCAAGAGCAGAGGTGACACAGCCCTGTTTCGACGGACTAGCTTGCTAGTTTGTTTGGCGCTTGGCTGTTCCATCGTAATATTATTTACTCAAGTAACAAACCAGCTTGTTATTCCCCTGATGCCAAGTTAGAATTCTTCAAGCAGCTGATGAGTTCCCTATTGCAATTGGCCTTGGCTGTTGTTCCTCTTCCCCATTCTGACAACAGACTGAGTTATGCAAGGCCATGTGCGTCCAGTTACTGCAGTGTTTTCTGTGGGGTTCTTGGTGACCTGCTGGAAATCTGTGACTACATTCATCTGCAACCACAGCATAGATGTTTTGGTCCTGTAGATGAAAATCATGGGTTTTCAGTACATCCCTACTATGAAGCAGCAGGTGGTCATGGCTACAGCCGTGCCTCGTCCGTGTTCTTGAGACGTATTTCTGGACAAAACCTAGCTATCAAACATAAAGGGTGAACAACGTGAGATACTACACTCTCCTACACCACTGTTTTCCTTATGTTCATGGGGGGGGGGAAGAGTTGTCGGTTTAATCAGGAGCTTAAAGCCTTACGAAATTCAGTGCTTGCAATGGTACGATTAGCAGAGCAACCCCACCATTTATGATTCAGAAGCAATCCTTTAGCACACCAAGGCCATTGTCTAAGCCCAGCCCCTCCTTGTTCCTTAAGCAGAGAGGGACAGTGAATAGAGGCAATTATTTTAGGCTCTGGCTTTCTTCCACCCAGTTAGCAATTCATAAGTCTTTGCTTTCGTTCTGAAATGTACTCCTGGCCAAAATGCAAATGTACAGTACAAGTTATGCTTTCTCGTGCACTGTACTTTTTTCTTCCACGAACGGTTCTCATAACACAAGCTCATATTTGCTCTTTTGGACAGACATCAATATATTCTTTTGGCAGAGGAGGTTTCATCGGCATATTTGCCAGAAGCACAAACCCTCGCATAGACACACATGATGTGTCCTTCTTCTCCATAGTACGTGTGAGCTGTGTCCTGCATGCTGGAGACGGCTTTCTGCAAACACACGGGCTAATCTGGCAGTTAGAAGCAATGCCTTTAACACCTGCTCAGTCGCTGCAGAGTCTCTCAGGAAAGATGCTATAGCTTTCAAAACAAAATGCAAAGGCTGGGCTAGAAGTTAGCAAGAACTAGACTTGAGAAAGCTTCCTGTAACAAACAAAAAAGGAAAAAGGAAAAAAGAAAGAAAGAAAAGCATAAGGTAGATGCCAACTTCAGAAGGACTGAACTGCTGGACTCCATCAAAGGACCCTGTCAAAGGATGTTGACCACAGGCAAGGCAGTGTTCTTAGATAGTTCCTGTTAAGCTCCAAGAGAACAGAAGGGGAGTCGCCTTGATGGATTAGACGCCATCAGGGTCCATGTAATCCACCTATGGAGCTTCTCTTTGTAGGCCACTCAAAGCCTTTGTGAAGGTCACAAACCAGCATGAAAACAAAAGGCCTTGTTCCTTCACAACATTCAAAGGCAAGGCACTTTTTTCGGAGCTTGGAGAAGCCATTTATTTGGACTCCTAGAATGGTGGGAAGACACAAGAGTGGAGCTTCCAATGCTCTGGAACCATCATGGCGAACAATAGAAGCAACCAATGCTCCGAACAGCTGCTTTTGACTCATCTGCCCTTCAGTGGCGGTCAATGTACCGCCAAGATGCCCAGGACAGAATGTTTGCCCTTTTGCAGTTCCTGCTGTGGGAAGGAAACTCCCCCCCCCCACACACACAAACACATTTCCTTGGTGCCTGCAAGGTGCTAGATAAAATGATCCATGTGTGAGGCAAGGTAACACAAAACCTCTGTCTTCTTTGAAAGAAATGAACAAACTCCTTCTAAATTGCAGTCTGGAGTTTCATGCAGGTGAATAGGATCCAAGTAAAATCTACTTTAATCATGCCCACTAAGATTGCGAACTTTTGTTGTTGTTGTTGTTGTTGTTGTTGTTGTTGTTGTTGTTGTTGTTGTTGTTGTTGTTGTTGTTGTTGTTGTTGTTGT